CATTGTACAGTGGCATTAAGTGCCGTAATGTGCACCTCTGCCTACCCCTTCGGGGATAAAAAGGCGTGATGTTATGTTATGTTATGTTATGTTATGTTATGTTATGCAAACAAATATTACGACCTATAACTATAATTATAACATCCTCCTCCCCCCAGGTACAAGGACAAGAGAGAGCTATCTAAATATGATTACGCGATGACACATTCGGATGGCGTCGTCACGCTGGAGATCATCGACTGTCGACCGGAGGACAGTGGCAAATACACCTGCGTGGCCACCAACGTACATGGCACTGATGAGACATCCTGTGTCGTTATTGTTGAAGGTGAGTTAAGAATTATTATAGGTTTTAACTTGAAGTGATGTTGGAGTTATATCTGACTATTGGCTATGTGCGCGACGGTGGCGACGCGTAGCGTTTACAACATTTGCGGAAGCTGTCAAATAATAACAATGTAAACATTATAATTTTCTTTGCAAATATAAATAAAACCAAAGATTAAAATAGTATTGTTGACATTATTTAAGTGCAATTTATTCAATAGTTTTACTGGAAAATGAATATAATAATAAAAAACGGGTTTGCATCATCCGCATTTGTTTCCAATTTCTGCCGTATTGTGCGCTGCGGTCGTTATCTGTCCGCCACTACTCGCTTTGCCCATAGCCAAAGTTAAGCGGAAAATAGGGTTCATTTTAGCTTGTATTAGAAATGTTCACGCTAAAATACTCAAATGCCAATCAATTTTAGGTTGCGCTTGGTATTCTGTCGCTACAAATTCTTTGTAAAACGACAGAGATAGCACGATATTTATCTACAACTTAAAATTGAGTAGCCTTTTAGTATTTGGGTGTTACAATACTAAAAACTTATTGTTGTTTACACTGTATGTAAGTACTTAAATTTACTTAATCAACAATTTTTTTGTATAACCAGCTTCATGGTGTCGAATGTTTGCCAAAGAATCATCGCCTTGTATACAAAGAGAATTATTTGTTATCTATGTTCGTTACGTCACGAAAATTATGTACCGAAGTAAAGTTACTCGGTGCTTGCAATTCGTTGTAAAAATTCGTCACAGTCTAATTTTCCGTTTCATCTTTATTGTAAATCAA